ATTTAATAAATATTTTAATAAATTTTAATAAATATTTATTTGGATAATTCTAAGTAAATATATTTATGTATATTTATTTGACAAAAACGATTAATTTGATTTAATTATTTTTTATTAAGTAAATATTTATTTACTCAGTTTTATTCAAAGAAATATTTGTCTACTCAATATTATTTAAAGAAATATGTATTAAAATTTATTGTAGTAAACCTTTTTTTTCAGTATAAAATTGCTTAAACAAGTTTATCTCTATACAATAGCCGGATCATCAGGCAATCTAATTTCTGTAACTCAATAAGATACGCTAAACAAAAGCGTATAATAGATAATCATCTCTCGATAACGAATATTCCTATAACAATTAAGGTGATAAGGTCAGGAAAGGGTGATTAATCAAATGAGGGCGTTAGCAACTTTTCGGGGAATAAATTCTAGGCTAATTGCGACTAATGTGATTGGGCCGCTATCGGAGCGGTGATAAAAAAGGAAGATAGAGAGTCTCACGGTGTGAAGAATAGCAGAAAAGAATAGCCGAACAGAACAATGATCCGGTAATCGTCTCTCTTCCGGCGCGGCGGACGTATTAGAATTTATTTCGAATACGCCGACGGCTGTGTGCCCGCCGGTGGCTATTGATTACCGTCCTTCACTTCCGCGTCTCGTTAAAAAGCCTTTCGCCATCAATCTCGACACCTTTTATAATGTCGAGACGATTACTCTCCTCTCTGTTACGGAGGATCCCTCTTGGAGACGAAACAATTTTTTCACGTCTCTGGGAATGACTCTTGACGTTACTCACGTTACTCCATGACGTCAAAAGGAAACACGAGAGACGACCGCGAGGAGGGGGAGAAAATATCGACTTCGCTCGCGCGACACGATTGCGAATTAATGACGCGACTCGATTTCGCGAGCGAAAACGTAAAGTATCGGATGATTGCTCGCGTCTCTAAAATACTCTCGACATTTTGCTTGAGATCGCGAATGCTCTTACTTTGTTTCCATTCGCCTTGTTTATTTTCAACGTATTGTCATACACACTCTAATTTAAATATCTGCGCAACTGAAGTCAATTTGGAACAGAAGATTGCGAATTGAAGATTAGAAATCTTTAATCAATTAGAACGAAATAATTTAGTCCGGTATTCATAGTCGATTCTTATATTTGAAAATACAGTTCTATATTCTTATATTTGTAGTACAGTCTTAAGATGTCATAATCCAATTAAAGAATTGTATTAGCGAATTATTATCTTAATATTACTTAAGACAATCTTAAAATAAGAACGGTTTGTGAATACCGTCTTTAAAATTAAAATTATTTGATTTCAATTCTAATTTTTAATTTACAATCCTCAATCTTCACTGTATAGTATCACACGGGCAATTAGTGATAAGATTTATTTACAATTACGCGCCACAGTTTTATTTACAATTATATATTTCCCATACTAAGAAAGGATTATTAATCCCATATTAATTATGTGGAAAATTAGATTTCGGCGAAATTAATCGCATATTTATGTATAATTTATTCTAACGGGAAATAAGAAAATGTCATAGAGACACCTCGATGATGGATAATATTTTAGTTATGGTATATCGACTCTCTAAATTCTTTGGAGTAAGATTTTACTCTGGAATGAGATTTAGAATTTGGAGAGAAAGATGTAAAACTTGTGCGCACAGAGCACCTTTAATGTGAAGATTGTAAAATAATAATCGACGGAATAACATACAACTAAATAAACAAATCTATCGAAAGAAATTTATTTTCCTAATCTAGCATCAGATATGTAATCTATCGTCATCCATGCTCTCATAAAGCTATTGTTATTGTTATTATTATTATTATTATTACACGATATATTCACATTGTTATGCTAAAGAATTTCGAAACTAATTATACGAAAAAATTGGAGTTTGGTGAAAATGAATTAATTTTTATGTAATATATATAATAACATAATAATGACATATAATAATTTATAATGTACGGAATAAAACAGATAGAAGGCTCAATAATGAATAATTTTTTAGGTATAGTCAGGTGTAGTCAGCTATTAAAGATGTAAAACTTGTGCTCATAGAACACCTTTAATATAGCTAAAAAATTTATCAATTATTTAGCCTTATTATTGAGTCTTATATCTATAACATTTTTTGTTCCCTACTTTAAGCTACGTTATATGCGAAACCAACTTATTTCAATAAAATTCCATACGATTAGTACAGAATAATTATTACTGTAAATATTAATTTGTAAATATTAATTTGACACTGTGTAATTTACAATTTATCGACTTTTATTATTAGGTACGTGTCTGTAATCGTACGTCTTATCGATTAATAATTAAAGCAACAACCACAAAATCCGCGTCGATCCTCCATGAAAAATGCAATCGCTGCATCATCCTGTAAATAAATAAGATCGTTGCGGCAGTCAGCAGCATCTAAGCTCGATAGTTACGTTCAGTTAGCGTTTCTCTCGGGGGTTAGCAATCGTTAAGAGCCGCGGCGAGAGCCGAGAGAGCGCACAGACTCGGCAGAGAGCAAACCCGTGGAAACTAATTGGATATCGCGGGCTCGTCCTTTGCAGCATACCGTTTCCATAATTAAATTGCTCGCGGCCTCGGCGCCGCCGCATGTCGATAATCAAACTAATCCATGGCGCAACATTCCCGGGGTAATGGTTTCGCGCCGTCGACTACGCGGCAGGGTGAGAGGAAGGATTCTAAATGTTCACCCCCCCCTCGCCCCCCTCCCCTACCCTTGATGTTTGTCGCCGCCGCCCTTTTGTCATCGTTGTTTTCGTCGCGTTTCTTTTTTGTTTCATTGATAGATCGTTCCTTTCGTAAGAAAGGTCTTCGCGCACTCGTCGCGTGTCGCGGTTATACAAGGGTAGAAGCAATATACCGAACGACAGATACGAAAATATATAGCGCGACAGAAAGGAGGACGGCGGTTCAAAATAGATGTAGATCTATGGGATAGACGGAAAAGGCAGTTAAGGGAGAGTGTGAGAGAGAGAGAGAGAGAGAGAGAGAGAGGGAGAGAGAGGGAGAAGAAAACGAGAAGATTGAGCGAGAGAGAAGCGAAATATCGGGCGTAAAGGACGCGAGGAGTAGGAAGTTCGCGGAAGGACGACACGTTAGCGCGCGCACGTTTCTCGTCCTGCTCCGTTGCTCCACTCCCGGATCCACGGGGGGAGCCATAAGGGGGCTATAGGGGGAGATCATGATTCCCCCCTCTTCCCCTTAGATCTCCTTTTTTTAAAATATATTTACAGTAAAATGTTATTATATATTTTTAATATATTTTTGAGATATTTTAAATCAAAATTTTGATATTCCAAAATTTTGATATTCTTTTCTAATTTAAAAAAATTTTCAGATATAAAAAAAACATAGATTCTATTATATTATTCTT